AGCACTCAGCTTCACTGACAAAGATGTGAGTTGTTTGAGGTGGCCAGTGACACATTGGTGGAAAATGACGGAATCAGGCATCTTTTTACGTGCCCGAGGGGTCCCCTCATTAATGGAGGAGCAGAAGGTCATTAAAACAAGAGAGCTAGTCTCTAAAACAGACATGGCTATTGCTTGATGCTAACATGTTTGTTAGCTGTCAGAATTCTGAGATTAAAGTCAGAATTCTGACTTTTTTCCCATAATAAACTGAAATAAAATTTAAAAATCAGTTACCTTTTTTTTTTTCCAGTGGCCCTAATCCTCTTCCGTATAGAATAACACTGAAGCATTTTAATGGCCACAAAACATTTATGAAGCAAGTGATTTTCCCCTTTTTTCCAGAATCAGTGTACAGAACAAAATGTAACATTTATAAACCTAAAATAACATAAACTTTTATAGAAAATTGTAAAAGCCTAACTGGGGACAGACATTGAGAATTAGCCTTAGCTAAAATGTTGTAGTGTGTGACATGATGCATGAAACATACTTGTCCCTATCAAATAAACGAATAAATAAATAAAATAGTGAAACTGCTGCTTTTCAAGCTAAAATCAGCCCCAGTGCCTTTTCTGAGCTTTATTTGGGGTTTTTTTTTTGGCCTTGGGCGTTGCAATAAAAAAAAATAAATCAGCGTCCAAACTTTAAAAATATCAGAGCGGATGCTAAGCATTAGCTATGACCAGCTAACTTTTCCATTGTCAAAAATTGACTTTATAGGGCGATTTTCTCCTCATGGAATATTTTTATTATTAATATTCTGAATTACTTTTAATCTGTGGATCCTTATGGATGAATGGAGTATAAACAATTAAAGATTTGATTTATAAAACGGCTTCTGGACGCCTTCAAATGTATGTAGTTGTGGCTGCTTTGTCGTGGTACATTTAGACATGCTCTTACATCTGTGTTAATTGTGCTTTGATGCTCTTTGTGTCCATAAAATCAACTAGGTGGTTGAATTGTGGAGAATCTAAGCTTTCCAACGAGGTCTAACACGTCTATATTGGTAAACATTTTACCGGTGTAATTTTCCTGCATTCTGAGTTATTATTTGTAATTGCCGTAGAAACGTCGGCGATCGGGTGGATTTTGAGAGGTTAAAGGTCACCAGGATGGGAACTCACTGATAGGCGATGGTGGTGAGGCGTTCATCGTTAACGGCCCTGCGAACTTCTGCGCGATGGCGCTCTGTTGAGATGCTTTTCAAATGAGGAAGAAAGAAATTAAATCAAATTTAAATCTGTGCACTTTTTTTGAGGCTTTTTATTTGGAATACGGTAAATACCTGAGGATCTTAGTGAGCTCTCCCAGGATGTCCTTCTTGTCCTTTGTCAGGTCTCCCTGAGCTCGCAGGGCGCTAATAACTCCAGCGTACGCCTCCAGCTCTGGATGTGGCAACATTCAATGTAAAGAGAAACAGAACGGATGTTTCATTACATCACAGCTAATAGAGAATAAAAGCTGCTCAAACTTCATTTATTGTTAGTAACGATTGTTTTTCTTCTCAGATTCCTTGTTTATGAACTTTACCGAGTTTACGAAGAATTCTTTTGCACTCGTCCCTTCCCAGGTCGAGGATGGTGGGCCACACGACCGGCATGGTACCAGTCAGAACTGGTTTCTCCAGCTGGATCATTGGCTGAGAGAGTAATGAGGATACAACGGGTCAGCCAACAGATCATCAGTTCACTCCAGAGTAACGAAGCCCATCTAATCACAACCTCTAAGCATTTTAATACTTTTACTAACTAAAATTTTACCTTGCAGTAACTTTGCCTACAAATGAAAGGTTAGTGCATCCAAAGTAAGGTTGAAACAATTAATCAGATTAATCGAACATTGAAATAATCCTCAACTAAATTAGCAGTTGATTAATCATTAACTGGAGTATAGAGACAGTAAAAGACGAATTAAGCTGACAGAACTTAGAGCAGTAATTATACCAAAATCGTAAAAAAAATAATTAAATAAATAAATTAAATATATATATATTTATCGATCCAGCACTAAAATGGTATCGGTATCAGCGAGAACCAACAAATATGGCACTGATACCATTTTGAGAGCCAAACGTTTCTTCAACTATTGTCACCCATTCCAGGTAGGCAATAAAAAGTTCTACTGGATTCACTTTGTTTTAGTCTTTTTCCTGCTTCACAAAGGAAGGCAGCAGCTTGACAAACCATGATGGCAATTATTTTACATCCAAGTAGGATGCAGTTCTTCATATAAACACACACATCAGTTTCAAACAGATGGTATCGGCCGATTCTGCACAGCCAGGTATCGGGGCCAAAAAATAGCATCGGCGCAACACTAATATTATAAACAATTTGCATTTAAGATA